GCATTCAGAGTGCAAATCATTGCTCGAATTGCTTAATAAACATCCACTGTTTTGATTGTAGCACATACTTTAATCTAAAATCTAACAAACTTTTGCAAAAATTTTACTTCTTTCATTGCAAGGAAAAAAATCTGACTCCATAGTGGTGGTTCTAAGAAATACAGTGGTCTGGATGCCACAAAATTCTATTAAGTTTGAACATCTACATCCAATAGAAATACAACCATACTTGAAGCATGATCGACAAGACAATGTATTGATGTTTTACTTGAGTATAGATTTAGATCAATAAAGTAGCAAAAAGTAGTAGCTTATGCTCGTTGGCGATAATATAGATATACTCTGTCAAATAACAGCTGTCTAGTCGACGATTAACCTAATAGACCTTGCAAATAAATTTGACAGCCAATACTTTGACCACCTCGTATGGTAGCATAGGTGGAAAGAAAGATATATCGACCAACGTTGTTGTTTATATTGCAAAGGGCGGACATTCCGCTAATTTGATTATAGTTGATGATATAAATAGAAGCAATATCATTATAGATTTTGCTCCGCAGATCTTGATCTACTTCAGCAACAATAAAATCAGTATAATAAATAATGTTGTTGACAAATTCTCAAACATAAGATAATGGAACTACATAACGGCGTAGATGACAAGACTATATCATCAAGATTTGCAATTGCGTGAGAAGAAATCGATTCAATAACGTCAACATCATCAATGAAAGAGAATGTGTGATCATCAAATTTCTAATTTGAGCAAAGAGTAGTAGTTGTTTTTGAGATGAAGTGATTGCAGAGCAAATAGAAACATTCATCATAGTCAAAGCCAAAGTTGATTTTTTAGATTTGATATGCGCGAGCAACTGATGTAAACAATCTTGAACCACTTAATGACATTATCTGTAGAGAACCAAGAATTGAGTATTCAAGGACACGTTGTATGCATATCCGTGATTAGAATCTGTTATCAAACCAAATGAGATGTGAATTTGATCATGACAACAAAGAAACGTTACTTCAATATATTATCCATGATGTGCTTCATAATGAACTCTACTTGATGCGGCCCACATCAAACTTAAACCAAATGACGTACGTTGTACATTGCATTGCTGAAACGAGTGACAACAACAATGCAGCTAGTCATGTTGTGCGCTTCATTAAATCCAAAAGACAAACTTTTCAATCGGAGCAAAAAATAACTAAGAAAGATACAACCATCCAAAACATGAAATTGCTGATATGCTGAATTAACATTGAGAGCGCTGTTGCATCTATTATATGTAGTGTTGCATCTATCATACATTGTGTCTGACAACAAACACAACTATGATGAAGTTTGCAAAGTCATTGTGAGAGCAAACATGCAGAGAGGATTGTGCAAAACATCATACATGCAACTAAATCTGTTGGCTGCCAACTAAAATGACGCACCTCGTGTCACGTATTGTACCGCCAATTAGAATACAATGATTTTTCACTTTGGAATAATGATCGAGTAAGCATAACAATCGTACTTCTTGTCATACTCTTGCTAGTTCATGCGCTAAAATAATGATAACACCTACTCTTTCCTCAATGCTAACTTTTGAGCATGTCAAAAAATTAGAGCATTGCGTTAAGACTCAATGCCAAATGCAAGCTCCTCCGTATCACTATCGGAATAGATGTCTATGACATCATGTCGTCAACGATCATTTTCACGATGGTCTTTGCAATTTTCAACACAATTTGACGTTTAGTTCCAAAAGATAAAGGCAAAAATTGTGCTATAATAAAGATTTTGAACACCATAAGTACATCATCAAAAAAAGCATTTTGATCATTAGTCAAATCGAAACGATTATGTAACCGTCTCTCTTCTTAGGATGCTCAACGCTAACATGATTTTCAATATTATAGTAATGAAAAGAACGACATCAGTCTTGTACATTGATTGAAGACTTGCGCTTTGCGCCCATCTTCTTCTTGCAACCAAAGGCAATGCGGAATTGTTATTGTAGACCATTGAACTGTTTGCCATTTGACGACCGAGATCACACTCTGAAATCATGCAGCATGTGATTATCCTTGAGGTTATGTATGACTTCCATAGAATATCTCCAGGCCTCTGCTAACTTGGCATTTGCCAAATTTGTCATAACTTAGTCTATTATGGCATCAGCCAATTTTTATTTATGACAAATATGACACTAATTTTAATTTGCTTGAATTGCTTATGATGTATGCTTACTAGAGTGACAATATAATTATGGAAGATATATACTCATCTTTCTCTTAGGTAATCATGGAGAAATCACCCTCCACACACATAGTTTCAGGATACACGGTTTGGAAAATCTAAGTTCAAAAGTAATCCATGTTTCATCAAATTCCACGGATTCTGGCATTTGATCCACTGGTTTGCAGAGTATATCTTCTCATTCTATCAATGAATACATTCTCAATTTTGGGATCAAATAAAAGGCAGTAGAATTGTGTCAACTATGTTTACGTCATTATCCAAACACAATGGATCATAGGACGCAACAAAATGAGTAGGATAGTATTCAAAGAAAGTTCGTTTGACGTGTAATTTAAGAGCATGATATTCACTCCATATTTGCTTTAAAGTGTTGACTTTCAAGATGTTTTGATTTCAACTCTAGTCAATGTGGAACCTTAAAGTATTTTGTCATTCTAGCAGGACCTTCGCTTCATGTAGATTTTTTTTTTTTCACCGCTCATACTTGGCAAAAAGCTACAAAAACCCGATGTAACGACACCATACGTGAAGATCTTCAGCCCATAGTCAAGTATGTGAGAGAGAGAGATCACATGGCGTTCTACATTTCTTTGAAGACATTTCATCAACGTCGACAGCGAAGAAGAGAGAACAAAAACGTTTTAATAGTGAACAAGAACGAAAGGAGACTTGGACTTCCATTCTTATTTATGGCATCACGCCAAAATTATTTATGACAAATATGACATAGCACCCCCAAATGCCATATTTGAAGAGGCCTGAATATCTCCCATTCCTCTAAGTAACCAACCACGCAACTCCAATCTCAATAACCAAACACGCAAATTCCATCAAAAGTAGCATAAATAGATGCGCCGGCGGAATCTAGTTTAGATGGTGCGGCCTAAAACCGCATGCTTAATGTAGGCATTCAGAGTCTTTGATTTATGCATGGGAGTTGCATAAGTCAAGGGTAGCATAAATAGGCGGCCTGGTGGAATCTTGTTTAGGTAGTTTAGGTGGCGTAACCTCCTATTGCCTACATTAAGAAGGGTATGGACATATGTGATCATGTATGACGACAATAGTTTTGGCAATGGTGTTACTTAGAAAGAAGTAACATCCATCTTTAAGTAATAAAGATGGTAAATTTATGTAGAAATTACATGCCAAAAGTAAAGAAAATTGACAACTTATACTCAAATCTAAGATGAAGTTGGTTAATCATATAATCAAAATACTCAACATAACATGAAAATTAGAATAAATAAGAAGTTCAAGAATGAAACATGAGAATGAAGAAATCTCAAACTCGATAAAGAAAATCTTTATCGAGTTTCACCCAAGATACACTTGAATTTACCATGTGAGATATCATAAAAATAAAAGAAAAACAAACGAACCTAGCACAACGGTGGGTAAACATGATGATTGAAAAAGCTCCACCATCCTCTCTAACCATACATCCACATGAAACGCAGTTCAAAATGATCTCCACATCTAATTCCAAGATAAGCAATCCTGAAGTATACATAGAGTATATACTGCCTGATTATACCTACTCATCAGAATCAAAGATCGTAGCTAACAACTTAGTGTTCTTCCCTACCAATCTCGAGTCTTTCTTCAGTTCCAGTATTCTTCAACACTTTTAGTCATCAACGAATAGACAGTGGGCAGAGTTCTTTCGCTTCTTTATGGAGTGATGAAGTCTACTTACTACTCCTCATGCCATTGAACTCTATGGAAGAGTTTGTTTCAAAAAGTAGACGTTTGATCAAGTCTAATACCTCCATAGATATTCCCAAAGCTAGTAATGTCTGTCGGAGTCATCATCAATCCTATCCAAACATTTTTGAGAATCTACGCTATAGAGAAAATGCCTCTTCTTTGGACCCATGCGCTCCAATCTTTGACTACTCTAAGAGCAACATTGTTGTCCGAAATCGACTCACCATGTGCAAATCCCGTCTTCTAGTGTTCCAAGATTCAAGGAAGGATGGTCTTAAGACCGTCTTAGGCGTGGTGACCATGTCGACGATGTTAGGACTAGAAATTGACCCACCACAATTTGATCCCTTTGTCACTCTCGGAGTATGCAAGACTTGGTTAATTTGTGCTGGAACCTCTTTGATTAACTTGGATTGTACTCTTCTACTATCTTATCATAGTGTTGTCTTGTATCGAATAAAGAAATTAAGTTCATATGTCTTTTCTTCTGTAAAACTAAACAGTTTCCTATCTTGTGACCAATAAGAAAAAATTAAGCAGGTAATTGTGTCTGACAAGGTTTTCACATGATCTCACAGTTCTATCTCATGAATGAGGCAGGTTTGAGTGAGCAGAAACATAAGGAACTAACCTTAAGGTGATTAACTTACGGCGAGAGCTCTGTCTCAGACCTATAATTCGACCTACAAGCTTATCAAGTTTGATCTTATCCTTAAAATATTTCTCATATTTCACTAGACACAGATGAGGAAAATTCCAGCATGAGAGTTATGAAAGGATATGCGATGAACTTAATACAATTGTAAACTGACGTTTCAAACTCACTACTTACACCGTGTTTCACAAAGTGAGGATCTCAACTCCTGATCTCCCTTTTTTTTTGGTTCATTCTCGTTCAAATCAAGTGACAGACAGTATCTACGCAAAGGAACGGTCTACACCGTTCATAGTTGGGTTTCCTAAGTTAAACGATGAACGACATTCACACTCCGTATGATGAATTCAGCTGGGTCATTGACCAGTATACTTGGAAGAAAGATATTTCAATTACGAGCCACATCTTTTACAGGTTCGAACCTCTCTCTTCTTAGTGCCAACCCTAGTCAGTGGGTTGCGAAGGATTGAAACCGTTATTAGCAAAAGGTGTGTAGTTTTAGTACTTCAGAGTACAAGGTACAGGGTGGATTTGAATCGAGTAAAGAGCATTTAAGGAAGATTCCACGTGTTCTTTAAACTTTGTGTCATTATAGAGCATGTGCGACAATATTGATGTGTGCTCGTCTTGGTTTTTTCTCTACAGCTTCTTAAACATCAGTGTATTGATAAGTTTAGCACGACGAAACATCGATGTTGAAACGATTTACATTCTACGCTAAATCACGTTCCGCTTCTCAAAACTAGAGCTTTCAACTCTTCAAGCAGACGTTTGAAGGTGGAGTATGAAGCAGGTCGTTCGAATAATCAACATATCTGCTTTTTGAGGTGCCCTGCATATGCGCTAGCTTCTGTTTCAATTAGTTAATTGAGAAGCAGGTCTATAGTGTACAGCTTGGTTTCGTTGAAGCTACAATTAGTCTGGTGTCTTCCTCATCTGCAAAGGTCAAGTCACATTTGGTTTCAGCAACCAATACACTCAAAAGCGAGTTACATATCAACTTAGAAAAGTCTGTCATCTGACCTTGTTTTCCCTGGGAAAGAAAAACGTTGCCACTCCAGCCAGCATTGCGAAGAAAGCGAAGAGAAAAATCGACTTCATCTGAAAGTGGACCCACAACATCGATGGAAATGTTAGATTCTCGCGAGACACAGCCACTGACAACTACAGTTCCAAGATTTTCCCACAAGGATTTTAAGCCAATGAATCCAAAGTCTTATCGAGAACGAGAAATGCTCCAACATGAATTGCCAGTCTTCCAACTGTGAAAGCGGAACAAGGTTTTGAATACTTGCCCTTTGACAGCTTTCAATGAGTGCAACGGCAACATATGGACAAACAATGCCACCTAGTCGCCCATTAGAGTTGGCTGCTCCAACTCCCGTCGATCTGACTTGAGTGTAATAGAGTTCAGGGGCGTACGCCCACAAGACTGAGAATGCTCCCATGCTGCAACTCCTTGCTCCAAACAAGAAGAAATTTGTGGCCATCTCGGACAAGGGAGAAACGAGTGGTATCATGAATGCTCCACATGCAACCAAAAGACCGGCGAGACTCATCTTCCGACCGAAGTGATCAACCACGAGACAAGCCACAATCACACCCGGAACCTCAGCTATAGAGGAGATAAGCCCTGTCCTGTACTGTGTGTCATCGTAGAGGGGTTTTCCATCGTGGCAAATATTTTCTGCTTTCTTGGAAGGAGAAGGATCGTCGCAGCGGTGAGATTTTCCATCTTTTATGTCTAGTTGTGTTGTCAAAAGGACGAGTCCATAGTATACAAGAGAATTCGCGAAGTAGAGAAACCACAGCAGTAGAGTCGTGCGTCTGAGTTCTGGTGAGAACAAGCGTTGTATTGTTTCTATCATTCCCAACTCTTTTGGCACTTCAGGCTTTCCAATCACTCCCACATCACCTTTCTCCACCTCTTCCAGAGATACCTTCTGCTCGTCTGCAGTCGATCATTCATAAACAATGAAGTCATTAAACTAGCGCATAATTCAAGCAGATAAGATGCACTATCGGCCACGGACATTTTATTATCCGTGCCTGAGGTCTGGTAGCAAATATGTATGAAAAATATCCAAACTCAGGACAGACATAAGCTGATGATACCTATTTTTCTCAAGCGTATGAATGATACTGAATGTGTAACTAGATACACAAAGAGGAACATTCAGAATCATGACAAGAGGTTAGTTATTGTCTAACTTACTTCTTCCATAAGGATCAACAATACACCTGGCAATCTAAAATGAAACGAATTAGTCACCAACCCAAATGGACATTATACCACCTACATCAGAAAGTTAGCGACTGATAAAGGACATCAAGCAATACTTTAGTCTTAAGAGTCGAGGTAGAAGATTTATTGGATGGAGTTTTGAATGTGTTGATACTTAAACCTCAAAAACTGAACAAAAAATACAACGGAGAAAGTTTGAGGTAGCTCACTTCATTTTTGGTCAAGATGAAATTTTGTATTGAGGAAGGTGAAGGTAGAAGTTACTTGCGAGATGATTATTGATATTAAACTCTTGAGAGTATAGAAGTATATGTTCACTATTGGTCATAGAGGGTAACATACCACTAGGTGTCCGTGTTTACGGACTCTCGCTTGCTTCTGTAGTTCTTCAATTGGCTTTCTCAACTCATCCTGTGAGCAAGGTACACTGCAAGCAAGTCCTATTATTGCTAGTCTTTGTATTTGACCCATTTCATTACTAAGTATCTACAATAGAACCGCTAGAACGTGTTAACTGGTTAGTAATCTTAGATAAGGTATGATAACAGCTAATTAGCTATTCTGTTTCTTAACCTGACTGGCTCAGAAAACTCCGTATGAGGAATAAAGAGGTGGGATGTTGTTCATGGAGATGAACAACGTACCGCCCGAATCTGATACTTATAATCAACGTTCAAGAAAGGGTGGATTCACGTCCAGCATATCTATCAAACAAAATGTTGACGGAATCCAATGAAATACACTTAGGTGATTGACTGAAGAAAGATCTAGAAAATCTTGGAATGAGAGGAGCCCGAATCTGATACTTATAATCAACGTTCAAGAAAGGGTGGATTCACGTCCAGCATATCTATCAAACAAAATGTTGACGGAATCCAATGAAATACACTTAGGTGATTGACTGAAGAAAGATCTAGAAAATCTTGGAATGAGAGGAGCGAGTGTGACTGATTATCTCAAACGAAAACCATCAACTTAGGCACAACTTTTTGAAAATGAAGTTGAATGACCAGAAAATCACGTTATTACAGTCATTTTGGACAGTTAAAGAAGGACCATGTAGTTACATCTGGAAAACAATGTGCAAGACAACAAAATAGTAGACCTCCTCTATTCATCTTAACAATGGGCTGCAATATAAAGGGCGTCATCATAACCACTGATTGATAGATGAAGGGCGTTTCCCAGTGTAGAGGTTAACTCAATTCATTCCCTTGGTACAGATGGTACCAAGGAAGTGATGTGCTAGTATAGAGCCTATCGATACTGAATACGAAGCCAGAGACGGAAGTCAATGAATAGTCATCCGGTTACCATCCAGATCGACCAGATAATTAACCTCGTTTACTGCATTCTAAAACATATTTCTTGAAATATGACTTCGTATTGAAGATAGTAAGATCTATTGGTGGTCCCAAACACTTCCTCATAAAAAAAAACTGGATTCTGTGCACTACAAACATAAAGTAGTTGAACAAAGGTCCGAATATCTGGTTGGACTTGATCATGTAGGTGGAAGCACGAAGACGAGACCATCCAGCGTTCAAAACGCTGTAAGATGGTAAGTTAACTACTAAGCTGAACTTCGAGAAACTTGTATGAGAACTTGAGTCAATGGTAAGCTAGTAACGCTTATGCTAGCAACTAGTAGTCAGTTAGATGAGCGTCAAGGCGAAACTCAAAGATGGGACAAAGTCAGGATATCTACGTTAGAACTAGGTAGATTTAGCCAAATAGGGTTAACATGTAAGGGTGAACTTTAGGGGCTTGAAGCAATAACTATGGCTGGAGTGTCTAAGAAAAGTAGGTTGTAGAGGATATCTGGAGATTAAGGCGATGGGTGATAAGTACGTGTAAGATAGCAGTTAGCAGTCAGTGATTACAAGTTGAGACTCTATTCAGAAGTTCCATAAATGAGAAAGATATATCTGTTCTCACCAACTTCTTGGTGTGTTCTGTGTGATCATATCTCCTAATATTGTAGCCGCATTTTAATTCATGCATTTAATTAGTCTCATTCCCACACGAGAAGTATGCTGGTAGAGAGTAGAGCTGAAGATCTTCTTGACTCTATTGTCGTAAATTAAACATATAACGCTCGAAATCGGATTTCAAGTACCAAAACATACATACTGAACGTCACAAGCCAGACTTGGATCGTGATGATATGCAACGATGCCATAACTTCAAAATAATTCATCACAATGATGAGCGACGTTCGGCGATTGAAACCAAGAAAATATTTCACCTCTCACTTCGCTGCTGAGTGTTTCCACTTTTCTAGTTAGTGTCCCGCCAAGTGGAAGACTGGGAATGAGCCTCCCCGCAGGTAAGGATTTCCGGTTGGCTTTCGAAATTTTCCTCAAGGCTTGCATTGTACCCTCAACATCTCCCTTCACCTATCACACGAAGAAAGGTGATGACTTAAGTTGACCTGGACAGAAGAAGAAAGCATTTAATATTTACCGTTGTGTGTATGTCAGTAAGCATTTTTACTCCATAGAAACAGATGATCTACAACAAATTTTGAATGCCATACGAAGAGTAGTACCATCAGATATCTGGGTGACTCAGGTACCAACGGATAAAACAGGAGAAGAAATACGAATGGTAGAGCAGAAACTCCCACTAACCACCTGCCATTGGAAAAAACACCTACATTAATAGACGGCAATGTTGAGCCATGAACGACCATTAGGAGTAGATGACCAATTTTATACCAAAATATGCTTGTTGCTATGACACTTCTCATGAAATGTTTATCTCTCGAGACAACCTAAAACAGTAGGTAGACACTTCCACAATATAGAAAACTGCTGTTAGAAGAAACACATGACAAAACACACAAATAGGTATTGAATGAAAAGAAAGGTCGGCAGTGAGACGACCAAGTCAAGATCGAACCACAGGCTTGAAATTTTCATTTCCTCTAGCAGAGGAGATGAGTATTCCATATGCTAGATTGTTAAGAAAACAAACGTAACACAAAAAGGAAATCAAGAACCACGCACATACTGCACAAAAAAATGCCTGTCCTAAGTTTGCACGTAGATTATCAACCCCAGAGAAGGTGGTAACAAACATGACAACGAGAAAATATTTTTTCTATATCCTGGAAGAGTCCTTCTCTTCTTCCGCCTATTCTTCTTCTAGCTCCATATTCTCTTCTTAGTCTACTCAGTCTTTAAAAGTTACCACGAAAGGACCCATGACCTGAGGGTGTTCGACCCAGCGCCCATCAGGCTATGACAGACACATGTGAATGAGAAAATTCATTCGGAGTGAGGACAGACTAGGAGCGAATATCTCTATCATGGCCATACTAGAAGTAAGAGATTACGGAGGAAATAAAGAAAAAGTGAAACTAAAGAAAAAGTGGAACTTCATTGACAGCTGTAAATGAAAGTAAGAAAAATTTAACAAATACCAAAGAAGACTTCGAACCATCTTTCCATCCTAAAAATACAGACCATTTGGAATCATATTGTGTTCCATTTGACGGCAACAGCAACGAAAAAGTCCCTTCAAGGCATGACCCATATATCCCGATAATGCGAACACAGACAGTTACTAGTGTCAGCACTGACATTGGCAATCGGTTCGAGAGGAAACAGCCCTCGAAACGTCCTCTACATAACTTCAAAGGACCCCACTTTCTCCGATAAAATCACCTCAAAAAGTCTACAGTATGAACCAACGTCATAGCAGTTACAAAATAGTCGATAAACGAACACGAACACAAGATTCGGCGCTGACAGTGGCAATCAGTTCGATAGGAGACATCCATCCAGGCGTTCTCTAAAAATCTTGCAAGTAACCCACTTGCCCAAATGAAATCACTACAACAACTAGAGATTAGGAACCAAAATCATAACGGTTGCAAGACACTTGATGGTAAAATAGCTGTTCGGCAAAAGTCAACTACCTCTCCCTCAACGAATGCTTCGTGCCCCGTCGTTAAAGGAGAGGATAGTTGACATAATACCTTCCGTTGCAAATCCTTTATGTGCACTAAACATGCATTGACAGCAAGGCTTATGGGGTTTTTCTCCATTTGAAGGCACCAGCGGCGAAACAGTTCCCCCACAGCATGACCCGTATTGAAACGACATGATTCACCTAAATTACTGTACTTCCACGGCAGATTACTTCAGGCCAAAACCTAAAAAAAACACACACCATCTAGATTCACATTGTGTTCCACTTTAAACAGACAGCAACCCAAACGTCCCTTTATTGCCTCACCCATATATCTCGATAAGGACGAAAACGGACAGTCACAAGTGTCACCGCTGATAGAGGCGGTCCGTTCGAGAGGAGACACCCCTCCAGACGTCCTCTAAACACCTTGGAAGTAATCCACTTCCTCAGATGAAATCCCTTGAACAAGTCAAAAGTATGAACCAACGTCATACCAGTTGCAAGACAGTTCATAAACGAAAACGAACAGTCACGAGTGTCGTTACTGACAGTGGCAAAAGTCAACATCCCCACCACCAACGACTGCTTCGTGCCCCGTCGTTGAAGGTGGGGATAGTTGACATAATACCTTCTGTTGCAAATCCTTTATATGCACTAAACATGCATTGACCACTAGGCTTATGGGTTTTTTCTCCATTTGAAGGCACCAGCAGCGGAACTGTTCCCTCACGGCATGACACGTCATCAAAACGACGTGAATCACTAACGACGTGATTCGTGATTCGTGAATAATTTAGGTGAATCACTGTACTTCCACGGCAATTTACCTTACGCCAAAACCTAAAAAAACGCACACCATCTGGATTCACATTGTGGTCCATTTGAAACAGACAGCAACCAAAACGTCCCTTCATGGCCTCACCCATATATGAACTCCGTTTAGAACTCAGGCTGCTTACTAAAAGATAACAGTCTTCAACATGTAGCCCCTCATAACGTACTCTTGTTCGAATGAGTGGGTTTGAAATCATGGCACACTGATTTTCTTCCATTTGCTGGGACATTTATTGGCACACGTCTTCCTCAAGGGAGAGCTCTAATCTGAACGGGGGAACTGAATACATACCGCCAGTTTGTGCGGGGGATGATCAACCAAGCTAGGAGTGCCTCGGCAATCGAACCAACCTGCTCAAAAGAATCCGCAAGCCAGATTTGGTGTCTATGTTAATTGCATAGAACGTTGAGTCCCAGTCCGTGACCAGTTCTATCAACAATTGACATCATCGACATTTCAACTGTGCCTTGAACTTTATAGATTACACCATCCCACTGCATCAAGTTTCGGTTCAGCATGAAGTCTTCCCTTCACTAGAAAGATGCTTACAGTCCAGCAAATGTGAATGGAGACGAGCCAGAAGCCCCTACGTTTCACTGGTAGGAATTCCATGAGAAGAGCGTATACAACCTATGGTGCATCATCAAGGCACTCCAAATAATAAGTAGATCATCGAAGCAATGCTCGTTAATATATGAAGAAAATCCTTACGGTCCAGAAAAATTCAAGGAAGACGAGCCAGAATCCTCTTCGTTTCACTGGTAGAAATTCCATGTACAGGGCGAACACAACCTATATATAAGAACATGGTATTAGGCTCTGTGACGTAGACATCATCATAACAGTCTTGCATTGCAAACATACTACCTATTAGAAAAAGTATAAGATAGTTAAATTCATCTTGAAGAAACAATGAGTCTGTAAAGACCATTTGGAAATAGCGCAAATAGCTCAGAGGACTTCATCAATCCAGATAAGAATGGCGGAGTTCATGGCGTTTGCAAAGCACTTACAACTGTACCACCGAGTCCAAAGCCAACCAGTGCTCGTGAAATCAAAAGCCACAAAAATGATGGAGACAATGCGCTGCACAGTGTCGAAAATTTAGGGTAATGAGTGTAGATGTAGAGACGAACAGAAAATAACCCCAACAGTAGAGAACCATAAGTATGTTCTCTGAAAAGTTCAATCGTTTATGGCCGGATCTGTGAGGTCATAGAAGCACCTCAAAACTCCAAATACAGAGGTGAAAACTGCTGTTGTTAATACTGCGACTCGACGACCTCTTGTATCTGCTAGAAGACCCCAAGCATAAGCGCCCCTGCACCAAGCTCAAAGAGAAATTGACGAACGAAACATCATCAAATAAAAATCGAGTAACTTTGATTTGAAACAGGTCAATCCGTAACATCTTAGCGAGAAAATTTTCTACTGTGAGTTCATGCTAGTGAGTACGTGCAGAAGAGATCTGAGATCAAAGTGATACACTGAATCTTAGAGGTATTAAAGGGAGAACTCAAAGCTACGAAACAACCTTACATGAAGGATGATATGGAATGAATTCAGATTGAAACATATACAAAAGTCGGAAATGCAAATTTGAAGACTTGATGGAGCTTAGAAACCAAAAGCTAAGTACTTGAAGTGAACTCGAAGTGAACAGGCTTCTTACACGAATACTCCAGCAAAAACAGCACTAGACACTGCGCCTTCTTGGCTTGGCGACAGTTGCCATTCGCACTGAGCCTGCAAGCGCAACAAGTTCTTAAGCTTTGACGATTCGATCAACCTTACAAACTTCAGCCACATAACCAGAACACTAACTTCATATTAGCAGTTTCATGGCTTTGTCTCATCTAGGTGTTGTAATTAGGCTCTTCACAAATTAGGAACGAAATTTGAAGGGAGCAATGCAGGCAACGTGCCTTCTAGGGGCCATGAATTGAGAAGCCCATACGGGTCAGGATCCTCTTGGGACAACCAGGCACATACCCTAGCAGCACAGGATGCACATCATCAGCCTTTCACCTAAGTTACACACAGTGTCTTTCAAACTGAATTTCTCTACAGTCCAAAGAAAGAGCAAGGCGTACCGCAGGACCGATAAACGAAAGGAGAATCATCTCAGCTGCATCTGCGACCCAAGTCAGACCAACGTATATTCCCAGAATTAACTGATACTTGCCGAATCCTGCAAACCGACGACGACATCAACATACGCCATGATCAGTGGTACTGCACACGAAGATGATCATATTCGAGAAGCACAAATGTTCTGCAAAAAGTTGCACTCATTGATCTGCAAGTAGTTGCCTTCTTAGCCTGACACTATACATCCGAGACCCGCTCTGGCGCAGAGATGCTACTGGTTACAAAGTGGGTAGGAACGAAGAAGTAAAATGAGATAAAAGAGGGAGAAGTGTTTAGCAGTGATAAGGGCCTCTCCTTCGGCAGGAATTCTTTACGGAAATGAGGTTCGAGGATTCAAGCATTCCGACATTTAAAACTCATCATCTGTAAAGATTGTCCAACTATAAGACAATCTATGTTTGCCTATAAATGCAGCAGTTTGAAGCTTCCAATCACTGCTTAGACATTACGAGAATGTTTTTGGTGCCATCAGCTCCGTGACGTTGTGCTCTGCTGTCGCTCTGTCTGTCAAGTGTGCTGTATTTATCTAGATTTTGGACAAAATTTCCGTCCTATATACTGCAAAATGATCAAGTAGATGGGCAGTTGCCCATCTTGCTCTCCTTGAGGGTAAGGAAAAAAATTCTCATTAGAAACATAAATTTCAGCTTGAAAATATTGCTTGAAAACTGTGTTTAGGCCATATCTTGGACAGGGAGGGTTTAAATTTGTATTTCACTTCCTTTTTGCTCTGCTTCTCTTGGGCCCCAGTTACCAGTTCCAGATGTAGTATCAACATGCCTTAAGTTGGTCTATGCTAATGTCAGATAAAAAGCCGCCGAGATTGAAACATGACTAAAATGATAATTATTACTATAATTTATAAGATTCTTCATTGAAGAAATCATTACTTTACAGGAGGAAAGATGACCAGTGCTACACGTATCGAGAGGTCAAGAGTTAGACGTGCTAGGTTTTGCGAATGTAGAAAAGATGGTAAAAGGCTATCTTTGGGCAGCACAACTAGCCACGAGATAACATCACCATCCATTGGTAAACAAGCGAAGGTGGTATTCGCAAAAAAATTGTCAAAAGTTGTGGCCTTCACAAGATGTACGCTGGACCAGTTAAGAAAATCCCCTAGTAGATACATAATGACCTCATCTAGATTTCCTAAAGTGGACAAACCAAACGGAGGATGAAAAAGCCCAAAGTGACTTCAAACTAGCCCACTGCATTGCATCACAGTATATGGTACAAATTACTAGAAAGAAGCTAAGGTTATTTGCATAAATGGCTGCTATATCTTCTTCCCACCTTCCATCTAGTAGCGCACTATATATTTACATTTCTTTCCGTTGGATGAAGAGATAGGAAATTTGTACTCAGTTAAAATCTATCCTCGTTATTGTTTGCTGTAATAGAAAGACCTCTTCGAAAAATAAACTACATATTTTTTAAAGGAATGTCTTAAAGGAACCGTTTGATAAACGGAGAAAAGATTAAACTGACTGTTATTAGGAGCCCAAACCACTATAACTTGGACAAGTCCTGGTTCCTTTTTGGAACACAACACTTAACAGTAAGCTGTTGACCAATTCAGAGGGATAAAAAAAGATGCAACTACCACTTCTTCACGAACACATATTTGTTTCAGAAAGTTAGCAACTTATCGGAGTACACCAACAATTAGAACAAGCAAAACTACGAATGTATGTCAAATTTGCAGATTGAGGGCAAAAATGTTGCGCTAGGGTGTAAAGACGTGCTCGTTACGAAATGTTGCGAAATGATATCGGCGGAAACTACTCGTGATCTCTACGCTGCGGTGGTCAGGTCCACCCATGTCTAGAGGACATAAAGGAGAGACTCTGCAAGTCTAGTTCGGGGGTTTTATACTGCGGCGAGGAGCCTTCGCATAACGTTAGGAGCAAATTCCCGTGTTAGTGCTCACATTCCTCCTCGTGGCAAGAATCCTCATCAGCTTTTTCAATTGCAACGCCACCATGTCTCGCTCAAAAGAAACACAAAACCTATTGTACTTTGCGGATAATGAAACGAGAGTACCGAGAAATTTTCCTCCTGAGATATCTTTGTGGTAGAGTTAGATGAAAGCGGAGGCATGCGAAGCACGTTCGACTAAACGGATCGCGGGCGACTGAAGAATCAGCACTGTCGAGCAAACAGGACTAAGCGCTCTGAACCGAATGTCTTTCCATTCTTCGGATTATCGAGAATAGAGTAACGCCGTGAATATTCTTCCCCTCATTCCACTCCCCATGCAATTCATCATGCCTCGAATAAAGGCACAAGATGAATGTCTTGGACTAGTATCCACAGTATACCTGTCAAAAGTTTATGTTGTGCATATTCTCCTACTACTCACATGAGATAGTACGATTGGCAGTTGAAGATGTGCTCGCAATGACGAGCATCTTCATCTCCGTGCTTCATCGATCAAGACTCACAGACATGGTTGATATCGCAATGTTCCGTACTACTTTTCTTAAGAGGAGATGATTTAACAGCATGCCCAATTTTCCCAATTTAGTACTCACCGACATGCTCGATAGCGTCTTCTACGGTAAACACTGGATCCCCAGACGTTGCCTCGTTGCTTGCTGACTCCTGCAATGCAACCCACATATCACAGCTGAACATTTTTGGTGTTTTCGTCTCGGAATTTTCATGTCGCTTGAAGTCAACAGAGCTTTCCAAAAATCTACGACAATAAAAACCAACCGAAAACACAACTTTAATCGGAAAACCACGAATACAATATGATGGTTTTCATCAAGTCTCGTTGCGCCTGTCTTCCATCTAGACACAGGATACAAAGCCCAATATAATGACTTGATCTCGTAGACGGGAGCAGTAAGGTGTCTGCCATGATTAACCCATGTGGCAGACAACCCCTCCTGCTGTATTCTCCTGCCCATAAGACTGCTGTCATACTGAAGCTCTAATCTATTCAACTCATGGCGCAATGAGGCGAGTATGTGCAGTCAAGAATTGCTTCACGGCAGCAACAGCAGTTGTGAGGGCTGAATCCGAACCGGAGCAGCTGAGGACCGTGAGTTGCATTCTCTAAATCGTCAGAATCACAAAACCTACTGCAATGACTTGTGGTTGCTACCTGTAACCGGGCTCTGCCCTAGATTTCTGCCCTGATAGATTTTTTTCTGCACTGCACTTTGGTAGATTTCAGCAGACTGCCCACCCGGTCATGCTACATACGATCTATATTCAGAGTGACAAAGTTCCGGACGGGCTGGTAGCCAATGGACCATCGACAATCACTTGGAAAGATTTTTATTCTCTGAAGTCCGAACCTTTCCTGGGGGAGTTAATAAATTATCCTCTCGGAGCTCGATCCGCCACCATTGTCAGCGGTGCAAATTGCCATGCAACGCTTGATCTTCGACCAAATAAAGCTGTTAGGCAAGGGTATTCACAGATTTCAATGGGTATGCAGGTAGAGAGAGGAATTCAGAAAGGGCATTACTCACAGCGACGATGAGGGGGGCTGTGACATCTTCCGAGTCATCGGCCCAGGTTGCCATCTCAACCGATAGGTCCTCCCGAGCAATCTCCTGCTGCTGCTGCTTTTGCTTCGATCCTTTCCCCTTCGTTTCGAATCCCGTGGCACCAGCTATGTGTAACTGCGGCGCGACGGTCTGTGGCAATTGAGCCATTTATACGCAGAAGAGAAACCCCTGGCGGGGGAAGCCAGGTTCCCGTAGGCTGCAGGGACAAAGCGGGTAAACGTGCATTGAAGAAGTTACTGCGAATATTACTCAGAGGAATACTCAAGAATTATGTGCTCACTCTCACGAGCTATGTGTGTCTCTGACTTCTGAATAGCGTTGCTCCGATGAGAACCTGTCTTTCCAAACTGAAACATGAACGCGAATCAAAGGTAAAGAACTGTGCTCATTAGATCTTTGGACTTTAAACGCGATATGGTTCCAAACACACAATGTCGCCAAACAGCTACGATCTGTTGACTTGGCTACCTCAAAACATTCCAAAACCTCTGCTCCAGTGCTCTTCCGTGTCTGGGACCCACCGCAGAGCGGCTGTGGCAGCATTCATGGCCCCACCCCAACTGTCAAGGCTTTCGGTCTCGGAATCCACCTCTGAACATTCACTTCTGTTCTCCCCACATTCGTCTTGTATTCTATAAAGTACTGAAGATTGACTTTTGCTGCTATGGCAACTACCACTGCAAGACTTCATCGCACGTCACCTCACATCCATCGTTTCTAACAGATTTCTTGTGTGCATTTAAAACATGGCTGTACCTGCGTACGTACTTCCAGCGTCAGACGCTGGAGTTGATGTGTTGTGTATCCAATTCAGCTTTTGGGGCATGTTTGTCTGTACAGCAGCCACGTCCTGTTATATGTACAAGCACCCCCAGAATCCCTTCTCTACGGAAAGCCGAGATAAGCATTGATGGGCCGGTTATCCGGACTAGTAGATACCAGACAAATTTGGCTTCTTTCAGGACAGACAAGGAATCCAGTGGGAGAAACTTTCGGAGTCTTTCTCGTTACTTTCTTGAGTGGGAATTGAGCGAGGGGAGAAGACTTCTCTTTGCTTGTGGCTGAGAACGTCTTCAACACTTCCAGCAAAGTGTGTACGCTGCAATTCCCTTTCGGCGGCTGCGTCCGGGAATATCATCTTTTGTGAGATTGAAGACTCGATCTATCACCTTGCAGTCGTATTGAGTCTCTAATCATCAGGCCAAGATGTTTTCCAAAGGGTGCAACAATTACAGCTGAATGTAAAAGTGCGTTAGTTGTGTTTACACGAATTTACGCGAATGGGATGATGGATAAGAGAGTATTTAGAGAATTTCGGGAGAAGAAGCCACAGCCAAAATTGCATAAAAGGGAGATTCCGGATACTGTACGCAGGCTCCGCTGTACCAGGAATCAAACATGTTCAACAGAGTACCAGCAGGAATGAAATTGAGGAACCCGGATCTCTTACAACTAAGCAGTCCATCGATTCACTACGTACGGTTCGCCAAGAGTCCAAAAAGAAAGTTCTTGTTTGAAGAGCTTCTGAGGGAAGTCGTGCTCGACCCGAAACCGGTCCTTGGCTGTCCTTGGTCTCTTCAAGCAACCCAGTGACCTCAGCTCGGACAAAGGAATCTACTCGGCGATCGGGACCGGGTTGTATAGCTCGCACGCAGACGTTTGCTCGAAGCGAGCAGCACTCCAAACGTCGAACAGGAAGCACCATGGAGTACAAAAGTGCTCCGAACGTGTCGCAATAAGAGACGAAAGGACACCTGGACACGACGACGACGCCCTTGCGAACGAAGGCTCCGAAATAGAGGAACAGCGCCTCGAGTATTCTCGCGGTCCAGGCGATGGCCGTCCTCCGCTGGACGATTCCCAAGCTTTGAAGTCGAAAGGCCGCATCGACCTGGACCCCACGAGAGCAGCACTTGGCAATCATCGACAGCAGCAGTCAAGCAAAATCATGTGCAATCGAAGTGCAGGCCCCGTCAGCGATGTGTCGGTCCATCGTCGATTCAGCAAGATGAGGCTCTGACCTCTCGATGCCGCCCGACATTCTGGGCTGACCCCCTCGAGCCCAGCCCTAGACCAGTTCGCAGATCGAGAGAGAGCCAGAGCGAGAAGGGAGCACACCAAACTCGTGGCGCGTCTATGGGCCGATGCTCCTCATACGATGTCGGTGTACTTGAGTACTAGTTTGATCTATATCCTGACCTCGGGCAAAGAGATATTGGATAATTTATAGTAGTCGCATCTGACTTTTCTTGCTTTCATCTTCATTGAGAATGTCGAACTTTTCCGTAAGGCAATTAATTTTTTACATTTTTCGGAGAAGATGACCTTGAATATGTTCCGGATAATATATATATATATATATATATATATATTATGCATTTTACTCTTCAAACAAACTTGATATGTACAGCAGTAGGTTTGTTTGAAAATAGTTTTGACCTTCTTACGAGTATTCGGAACCGAAGATAAGTCTGATAGAGATATTTTAATTTGCATGTCTCTTTTCATTATGCACATGTTAGTTCATTGCAGCCTAAACTGTACCACAAAACCTCGTGTACTATTCACATTCATGTCTATAAAAAATTCTGCTGATTCCGTAGAGAAAGACTTTGTTTCCTAAACATCTTGAATATATAAGCTAGCGTTTGTGAGTGACGGAAAGTGTGATAGTTCAAAAAATTTTCATTATGGAGGAAATCAATTGTTACTGATGAGGTCTTGCCATCCTTTTTGCTAAATCCTTGATGCCCGCTTCTATCACAGGAGACCACGAAACGTTTGTACATGACAATACACGTTGCTTTCTTCCACTCATTGTTATATTTAAAAAGCATGAGATTCCTAATTGAGATTCCTAATCCGAGAACGTGAATCAAACCATGCCATGCGGTGTAGATTCTATTCCATATTTCTACATGTTACATGACATTATTTGGTTGACAAGAGAGGGGCGTACACCTTTCTTCATCCTGGGAATAAACCATCAAGTCTTACAATGATGAAACCAAAAAGTAACAAGGGTGAGACCCCAATAGCATCACAACAGAAATACCTCACACTAGACCCAATATAAAATATAGGCAGCACTACACGCATTTACCATGGATATCCGAGAAACTATTGACTTTTAAAATATCACCTGCTAATTATCTATTCTTTCATATCAATGAAAAAGTAAAGATATAAATCAAAAGTTACAACAACACGAAAAGAGTGATTTCTGGTCGATTTCATTCTAGTACTTAGATCTGCTTGTCAGAAGAGAATCCTGAAACCGGTAGACCTTAAAGTTTAAGGTCTACCGGTCCAGTCAGGGTTTAAGGCTTAAACCCTGACTGGACAACCTTCCCAGATTTGCCTCCCACTCGACTCTCGATTACCGTAGACTTTAACCCGGTAAGGGTTAAAGTCGACTTGAGGAACCTCGACGGAGTACTGTACAAACGATCTCGGTCTGTTCGAGAGAGGCAGACGGAGATGTGATGAGATGAGACGACACACGACTTTGCGCACAGAGACATCCTGCTGAGACAAATTTGTGTTTGGACGGAAACATCGAAAGCTGAAGCTTGCGGTAAACCGCAAGCGTAAACCGCAAGCTAATCTTGCGTGACGCAAGGTCAGCTTGGTTTTCATGCGCGGATCTCGAGTGACGCATGCGGCTTACAGGAAATCTTTTCACGTCAAAATTGAAGCATCCGGCGCACACACAGAACTGAATTACACAAAAGCAAACAATGGCCAAAGAAGAAAATGCCCAAAAAATTAAAATAGCTCGTCCAATATCATCCCAATGATGATAATAATACAGCCTCTTACATATATTAACTTATATAAATCACAATATCTTCAAACAATAACAAGAATAACGTGACGTCACTTCTTAAACGTTGATGATTACCGATGAACTAGAGAAAATGAAAACTTTGTGGTTAATTTTGGTATACTCTTGCATAATCTTTCGTGAACATGTCAAAATTTATAATCAGGGTTAATACTAGAGAAAATAAAAATTGAAATATAACTATAGCTTATACTTAAGAACCCTAATATTTGTCATCACATTGCTTGCGGATTCCTCTACTGTATTAACATTAAAAATCATACCCTTGAAACATAATCAAATAAAGTAGAACAGATTACCAAGTTTGCAGCTATTACTTGGTCTTGTGGAAATTTGGATATGTTATAACTGTAATCAATTATAATCAGGTTTGCTTAATGTAGGCGGTTAGAGGCCGCGATGCTTCAACTACCTAAACTAGATTCCACCGGCGGGCTTACTTATGCTATCTTTGACATGGAATAGACTAAGCAGGCTCATGTATATCACAGCCTTTGAAATAGATTCAACCAGTTTGCAAAGAACATCAATCTCCATTTTTGACAACGCCAATGTAGGTAAAGAAGTGTTGAGGAATGAAACAATTCCTTTTTTCAACGGCTAGATGAAATATACATATATTTCAGCTTTCGAAATAGATTCAGCCAATTTGCAAAGAGCATCAACCTCCAATCTTGACAACGCAAGTGGCGAGAAGAAAGCGTTGAGTAATGAAACAAGTACTTTTTCAAAGGCTAGACTCTTACTTACAAGATATGTCCATATTGCCGAGTTTATTCGCAAGGCTTGCTATTATAACTATCGACTAGAGAAAGGTTTTTCGGCAGAGTTGATTGATGCTATCGTTAACGAGCATAGGCTCATACTCCATGCTTAACGGTGTGAGTCCGTACTCAAGCATAGCATCGATGAGTTGTTAAATTTATTTTAGATTTTTCGTTCAGCGATGAAAGAAACAACCTCCTCACAGTACTCTTAGATTTTGGATTGGAGAACGCATTGTTGTCAAAGCACTGGATGTTCATTGAGCAATTTTTTGCATTCTAAATGCTTAATAAAGCTCACAATTACACACCACCTAAACTAAAGACTAAGTGAAAGTTTCTTGATGCTACTAAATTAAGCTAATTTAGGTAATAACTCGACTAAGAAGGTTTGATTATAATGCATATATACAATAGTTCCATACTTAGTATCATTCTCATGTGTCATAGCAAGTAAGATATCACACGTCACATGTAAACACATGGTGCATCCAATTTTAATGCCCGTTAGCAATTCTGGGTAGATATCAGATGGTATGAACACATGTTGTACCTAGTGTGATAACCGTAAGCAATTTTAAATAAATATAAAAAAATTGTGTGAACACATTCTAAAATATTTCACTCATTCGCGAGCGAGCAAGTCTGAATGAGTATTAAATCATGTAAACACATGTTGCAACTAGATTATTATTAATGAACACATACATCAGTTGTATACTCATCCATGAACAAAGATATAGATAGATTTATCAAGATGAAGTAACCCTAACTACTGTGAAAATTAGTAATTACTGACAGAAAAGTTTCTTACTTTCAA